AGCGGCTCTCATGACCCCAGTCCATAGGACCTCTGACCCCTCGGGCTTAGTCTGCATTCTCATGTTCTCTGAGTCCTTGTTCAGCAGCTGCTCCTCCGCTGACTCTGGACCTTTCTAGTTCTCAATGGCAGGAGCAAGAGTGACCCGTTGTATGGCATGTGTTCCCAGGGGTTTCTCCATATTTGAATGATTCACATGGGTGGGCCTCTGCAGCCGGTACATGGTGGGCCAATTGTGTCATTGTTTCCCTGTGTCATGGTGGTTCTCAATTGAGTGGCAGTGGCCAGCCCGAGGGCCGCCACGTGGCTCCCCGTGCGCCTACGAGGCAGGGCTAACTTTACATTTCTAACACACGGTTTTAGTATAGACCTGGCACATTGAAGGGGTTCAGTGTGTATGTGAAAAAGTTAGTGGTTAAATAAATGCATCTCTGTAAATTCTAAATGACATTTTATTTAGTCTCCCTTGAACTGATCATCTTGGGGAAAGGGAAGCAGTATCTATTTTCACTGTTATTCCCCAGTTTTAAAAAATTGTTTATTTCCCTTCTGCTTATATGAGAATAATAAACTCACCCAGGAGACATTCTAATACTTTTACAATTTAGAATGAGCAGATCGAGTAAAAGGAGAGCAGGAACTCTGCCGGGTGAGTCTGGCAGCATGTAAGAGCTCTTTTTCTTTTTGAGACAGGGTCTCACTATGCAGTTCAGGCTGGCCTTGAGCTCACTTTGTAGCCCAGGCTGGTCCCGAACTCCCAATGATCCTCCTGCCTCAGCCTCCCGAGTGCTGGGATTACAGGTGTGTGCCACCATGCCCAGCAGTGTTCTTTTGTTTTTCTTTTTTAGTACTGGGAATTGAACTCAGGACCTTGTGCTTGCCAGGCAGGTGCTTGTGCCGCTGAGCTACGTCCCCAGCCCTAGGAAGAGCTTGATGGTGCTGGAGTCAGCCTGGCGAGCAGAGGCGCGGATGCCAGCTCGGGAACGTTTGGGAAGAAGTGGGATGGGAGGACCTGCGCAGACTGACTGTGGACACGTATTTCGTCCGCTTTGACTCTGAAACTTAGGAGAGAATGTACATGGGGTTGGCACTCTTTTCTGTGACTGCATGAGTGCTCATGGCACAAGACAAGAGAGACTGCAGCGTGTATATGCTCAAGGAGGAATTCAGTAAACAAGACCAATTTCATCACTAATTTCTGCACTGAATCCTCCAGTCCTTTGCTTATTCGCCAACTGGTGGTTAAACTGTTATACCAGCCCATGTCCTTGACACAGTAACAGAGCACTGACTCAACTTTGCCCTCCTGCAGCTTCCAGTCTGTCGAACAGGGGAAGTTGCAGATGAAGGTGACAGAAGGAGTGATTTTGCGGGGAGAGGGGTGGGGTCCACGTGCAAGGGGAAGAATTACCATTGTTGGGAGAGAGCTTTTCAACAATTTTTGCCGGGCGTGGTGGCGCACGCCTGTAATCCCAGCACTGGGAAGGCTGAGGCAGGAGGATTGTTGCGAGTTTGAGACCAGCCTGGGCTCCAAAGTGAGCTCAAGGCCAGCCTGCACTGCATAGCGAGCCCCTGTCTCAAAAAGACAAAAAAAAATTTTTTATTAGTATGTTTGCAATGTGTAATGATTACATTCACCTTGAGGGTTAATACATATCTTCTTACCATGAGAAAACAATGCTATCCTTTTCTTTAAAAAAGATAACAACTATGAGGAAAAGACAGGAATAAATATTATCAAGGAAAATGATTAATAAGTACAGCGGAGTGGCATTCTTAGTTAAACGTGTGAAAACATCGCCCCAGGTGGGGTAAAACCGGGCTGACACCACGCGCTTTCACAGCAGTCTGCGGCTAAGCGAGATCTCGGCGATCCGCTAATTCCGCAGCTTTCAACCTTGGCTCACAAAGCCAGCAGCTGTGCAGGTGACTCACGAGGCCTGTGGGTGAGACCCGCGGGGTTCTGCAGCGTCGCACCTTACCCGGGGAGCAAGCCAGTGTCAAGGCAAAGCCTGCCAAGTTCCCGGGAAAACCTAAGAGTCACCCTGTCGGTTTGCCTCCAGCATAGGTACCGATTTTTATTTCCTTCGCAGAACATGGGCTGATGCCACTGTGTGGCGTGTAGGGACCTCGTGTAAAATTCCTCTTCAAGTATTACCACAGTGCTATGCCTAGTGAGACCCTCACCGCGTGGGAAGCTGGCAGAGACCCAAGTCAGTGGAGAAACGAGCAGATCCGGGTCTCCCGTCTCACCTTCCTCCCGTGCTGTCGAGGAAGTGCATTTTTTTTCTTGTACCTTCTCATTCTGAGAATGTGTAACTAAATTTGCTGCAGTCAAAATGCCGAGCTGCAAGGGGGTTGCTTTGCTTTGTTTTGCTTGCGGTGCTGGGGACGGCGGCCAGGGTCTTACACGCGCTCTCGCACTGAACTACTTCCCCGCCCAAAGATGATTTATTTTTAAAATATTAATGCATAATTCATATCTTCCTTATACTTCCCTTTCGCTCTGGCAAGCCTGCTTGCGCGGGGAAGGAAGAGATGGAGTGCGAGCTTGCGCCTAGGGATTGCACGTGGGTGTGCGTCTCCCAGGTGCATCCCTGTTTGTGTCTGGGAGGGGGCAGAAGTCAAAGGTGGAGACTCACTAATCTAACGCAACCCCTCCGTTTCTTAGGTGTGGACGCTGAGGCCCAGGGAGGTGATGGGATCGCCCTGAAGTCATGCAGCTGGTGGCAGAGCCAGGCCTAGAAGCCAGGCGCCCTGGCTGTCAAGACATCCCGCTGCCTGAGGAATGGAACAGGTAGTATCCCTCGCCCCGGGGGCCCTGCGTCCGCCCACCCAGCCCAGGGCAGCCCGAGGTCCACACTCAGGAAAACACAGGAAGCAGTGCTACAGCTCGGACACACTGAGTGGGGTGGGATTAAAGCTTGTCAAGGGCAAGAGGGCATGGTGTAAAACTCGGCCCTCAGGACCCCAAGACAGAGCTCAAGGCCCCGAACCTCCCCAGCAGCTGTCACCTTCTGAAGGTGGATTCAGCTCTGTCTGTATCATGTCGATCTCCAGACAGCTTGTCGTCCTCCAGCTATGCTGCTGCCCGGGCTCTCTTCGGTGTAATTTATCGTGGCAGGAAACCGCTGGCCATTTGGACAGGACGGGGATGAGAGAGAGTTCAGAAGACCCAGTGGGAGGTCTGGGTAGAAATTAAAAAGCGAGATTGAAGCTGGGTTTCACGACATGCACCTGTCGTCCCGGCGCTCTGGAGGCTGCGGCAGGATGATACATTGAGCCCAGCCTGGGCGGTTTGGCAACCTAGCGAGACCCTGTCCTCAAATTAAAAAGTGATAAGGGTGGATCTCAGGGCCAAGGGCCTGGGTCCAACGCCCAGTAATGAAAAGGTGTAGGGGGCGGGGGCTGGCAGGTGGGGTTTGCTGGACTGGTGTTCTATCACCTGGATTGGTGGCTGCTAACGTTGGTCAATAGTGATGCTAGAAAAGATCCACTGGAAGTGAAATCCTTCAAAATAGGAAGGAGAAGAGTCCCTGCCTTCATACGTGCCCAGGGCTGTTTCTATTAAATGAATTTCTTTAGCCCGGTATTGGTAAAGCGAAAACTTCGTAAGCTACTGTATGTAAGATATGCCCCGTATATTACATGTAAACATGAATACTAGTCCTTGGTAATGTGTATTGGTCTTTCTGAACAGCCTGAGTTATGGTTTCTTTTTCATTTATCTAGCAATTATTTACTGAGCACCTACTATGGGCCAGGTGCTGTACTGGGCATTTGGAATATATCAAGTGAACTAAACAAACAAATACTCTTGTCCTCCTAGAATTCAGTCAAGGGAAGGTGGCCAGAGAATCCTGTCTCTTGGGGACATCAGTGAGTGAGGAAGCTGGGAGAGGATTACTGAACTGAAACGGTATTACAGTAAAAGCTTCAAGGGAGGGTATCCATAGGCTGAGTTTGACCAGACCCTTTGGCCAAAGACGTTTGGAGGCAGGGACACCTGAAATAACAGAATGATCTCCCCAGACCATCTGCTTACGTCGGTGTCCATGAACTTGGTTCCCAACAGAGCAGACGCCCAGACAGGAGCTGTGACAAAGGGGGCAGCAGGGGGAAGGCCCTCAGCAGAGGCCAGGCGGGCAGTTCAGACCTGGGGACGGAACAGAGTATCAGAGGGACGTGTCAGCAGGTAGTCAGACCCCAAGACGCCACGAATCTTGTTATGAGTCACCCCACCTGGCGGCACGGTCGCAAGCCGGGGCATCTAAGAGCCTCTGGCGTCTGCCACGGTGTCGGGCAGGGAGGGAGCTTCAGTCAGCGAGCGTGTGGTCACCGAGCTGAGCTTCAAGGCGCTCCAGCCTCTGGGTCCAGTAAGTTCTGAGTGAGACGTTAAAACAGGGACTTGGGGGCTGGGGAGACAGCTCAGCGGCACAGCGCCTGCCTGGCAGGGGCAAAGTCCTGAGTTTGATTCCCAGTACAAAAAAAAAAGAAAGAAAAGAAAGAAAGAAAAGAAAAGAAAAGAAAAGAAAAGAAAAGAAAAGAAAAGAAAGAAAGAAAGAAAGAAAGAAAGAAAGAAAGAAAGAAAGAAAAAGAAAGAAAAGAAAAAGATAAAACAAGGACCTGGGTGCGGGAAGGAAGAGGGGGTCTGACCTACAAAGGAGGGCATAAGGTAAGCTCTTGCAGCCGAGATCCATAGTCAGAGGTGAAAGACAAAGTCAGGGGCACTAAACTTCCCAGCCTTTAAATTCCTCTGAATTAAGAACAGAATTCTTTGGGAGGCTGAGGCAGGAGGATCATTGTGAGTATGAGACCAGCCTGAAATAGATAGTGAAACCCTGTCTCAAGAAACCAAAACTACAAATGGATAGGATAGGATAGGATAGGATAGGATAGCATAGGATAGGATAGGATAGGATAGGATAGGATAGGATAGGATAGGATAGGATAGGATAGGATAGGATAGGATAGGATAGCGTAGGGTTGGGTAGGGTAGGATAGGATAGGATAGGTTAGGATAGGGTAGGGTAGGATAGGGTAGGGTAGGGTAGGGTAGGGTAGGGTAGGGTAGGGTAGGGTAGGATAGGATAAGATAGGATAAGATAGGGTAGGACAGGACAGAATCTATCTCATTCATGTGATCCATAAGACCTGGGCTCTAAGGTAGGGAGGGGCCAGGACGCAGCAAAGCCCATGTCCATTCATCCCTGATGCGGAAGGAGGAGCGTGGACTCGCCTGAGGCGTCTTTCCTTCTGTCTGCGGGGGTCCCCAAGGGGGCGTCATGGTTGTTATGACGCTGGGGGCTCCAGAGGGTCCTGTTTCTCTAATGACCCCGGGGTTCACTCCAAAACCCAGAGGAAGGCTGTCTTGAGACTCGCGTCCAGGAGCTCCAGCCCGCTGCTCCACTGTGCGTGACTTCCTCCCCGCCCCCGCTGCATCCCCGCTCGGCTCAGACCTCTCCTCCAGCCCGTTCCCGCTCCGCTCCGCGCCCTCCTGTGTCCCCGCCTTCCTGGTCCCCGCCGGTGTGCCTCACCTTCCGTGCGGAGGCGTAGCTGCCCCTGGGACTCAGGCGTGGCCCCGTCCTCTCTGCGTCCCCGCGGGGGTTTTGTTGGATTCTCCGCTCTCCGGCCAGCCCTCCGCAGCGGTAGCAACGGTACACTTCAGGCAGATCCGCGAGGCTGCCCCAGACACTGCCGCGGACACTGTGCTGAATTTGACTTCCAGAGGATTCTTCTGTCTCTGGGGTCACTTACTCCGCAGTCCAAGCCCCAGGCTCCGTGCCTGATCGCTCAGGGCCGCAGCTAGCTCCGTGGATCGTGCCGCCTGCTTTGGCTTCACCGTGGGAGGTGAGGGAGAAAGTGCCTTCCCTGCCCCTCGGCCTCCGTCTCAGAGGGCAGAGCTCCTCCAGGGAAGACAAGCGCTAAGAGGGAGATGCTTGTAGACCTCTCCTGTTGAGTAGAATAAAAGCATAAGCCATACGTGTGATTGTCATTATTGCCTCGCGGTATTCTTCAGGGCTAAGAACTGAGCCCGAACTCTTGTGCAGGCTAAGGACGCGGCCTAGGCTGTGCGGCATTTCCAGCTGCACATGTAATTGTGAACGTTCTAGTAGCCACGTCTCTAAAAGGTAGAAAGATGCCAGGTGTGGTGACCCTACCTGTATTCCCAGCTCCTTGGGGGACTAAGGGGAGCATCTCAAGTTCTAGCCCACCCTCCGCAACTTAGTAAGACCCTGTCTCAAGATTTTTTTTTTTTTTTTTTTTTTTTTTTTGTCTTTTTGAAACAGGGTCTGTCTATGCAGTTCAGGCTGGCCTTGAGCTCACTTTGTGGCCTAGGCTGGTCTCAAACTCACAACGATCCTCCTGCCTCAGCCTCCCAAGTGCTGGGATTATAGGTGTGCGCCACCACGCCTGGCTTTGTCTCAAGATTTTTAAAAGGGCTTGGAGCTTTATTTCTGTGGTAGAGTGCTTGTCTAGCATGCATGAGGCCCTGGGATCAATTGTCGGATCTGCAAAAGGAAGGAAGGGAAGCAGGGAGGGAGAGAAATAAAAACAGATATAATTAGTTTTAATATTATAATTTATTTTTCATTATTTCCAAAATATCATGTTAACATGTAATCATTGTGACAATTTTTTTTTTTTGTACCAGGAATTGAACTCAGGACCTTGCGTTTGCCAGGCAGGCGCTTGTGCTGCTGAGCTACATCCCCGGCTACTACTTATTTGTTTTGTTTTGTTTGGTTTGGTCTGCATTATGACAATTATTAATGAGATGTGTTATTTCTTGCTACTGCTCTTCTAAGTCTTTGAGATCCAGGGTGTGTTATACACGTAGAGCACAAATCAATTCTGATGCTAAATTGTCATCAAAGACATTTGATCCCTATTTACATTTACAGTGGAAAAGGTGTTCTGGACATATTTAAGTATTTTCCAAGCCAGGCATGGTGGTGCACACCTGTAATCTCAGCATTTGGGAAGCTGAGGCAGAAGGGTCATTGCAAGTTCGAGACCAGCCTGGGCTACAAAATGAGCTCAAGAGCAGCCTGAACTGCCAGGTGACACCCCATCTCAAAAAGACAAATAAAATAAAATAAAAATTAAAATTAAAATTAGAAAATAAACATTTTCCGGTTAGTGAATTAAGTACCAAAAAGTCATTTTCCTTTAACATTCATCTCCACAGTAACAAAACCAGCTTATCTTTATTGGAAGAATGGTTGGACTTTGAAGCATAAGTATATCAGTTTTCAGACTGCTTCTGCCCAGATTATGTCAGTTCACCAAGCCTGGTGTCAACTCAGTATCATTAATATGGACTATATAGGGGTATTACATAAATTGAAAAGTAATACTGAGTTTATTGATATCAGCAATCTGCTATGCAAAATTTTTTTGTAGATTTTGGAGGTAATTTACATAATGCTGGTAATTGTGGTTAAAAATATTTTGCATCTGGTTCATGTTAGAAAGTATACAAACCCTGGTGGGCATGGCGGTGTATGACTGCACTCCCAGCACTCAGGAGGCTGAGGCTGGAAGACAGCTACAAGCTTGAGGCCAGCCTGGCTGCACAGTGAGACCCTGCCTCAAAAAAAGGAGAAAGAAAAGAAAAAGTATGCAAGCTCATCGTTGATGATTTGTTTTATGAAAAGGTGTAATTTCACTGTAAATTCTAATACCTTTCTAGCTAGGCCAAAAGTAAGTTTTTCTTTGCCAAGAGCTTCAGATTTATCTCATTCATATACATTGTGAGATTGGTACGAAAATATAAATCACACTGTCATCTTT